AGGGACACGTGCACCTGCCAGGTGGCCACAGACCAGACATGGCTTCAGAGAAACGTCACCGTGGAATGAGGAATGAAAGTCAGCTTCCTGGTATTCATCAAACTATTGCTTTTCATTAAAATAAGTCAAAATGTTGGGACTGATGAAGCTGTCCGGGTCGGGGTGTCGTCCTGGATGAACCCGTCTCATCCTGAGCTTCCTGTCGGTCCTACTCTCTACATTCTCCACTGAAAACTGGAAACCTGTGCTAATTAAACCTTCACTTCTCTAAGTTCCCTGAACTTTGAGAAACTTTGGATTCCTTGTGTTTTTCTACACGGAACAGCCGCCGCGGTGATATTTATCCAGAACTAACGTCATCGCTCCCCCACGTTCACTCACATCACACCTCTCACTCACAAAGCTGGCACATGTTCTGCTTTACAACCTTCTCATCAGACAGTAGCACCAACACTGGATGATTCTGTCTCACCTTCATCCTCACAGGTTAGGAGAAGATCACTGAAACACTATGGGGATGTCAGGCTGAGGGGAGAACAGGCCACACACACCCTCATCCTCGACTCCTTCACTTCCTCCCACACCTGCTGGACGTAATCTGAGAAGTGCTGATTCATCCGATAGAGGCATGAATCCCGGTTTTGTTTTAAAGCAAATGTCTTTTCATCGACCATTCCTAGTCTGAAAATCACCAAAACTGTGTGTGTGTGTGTGTGTGTGTGTGTGTGTTCAGTGTGAACCCAGGTGATAAACTGTGTAACTCTGACGTGTCCAAGAACATAAACAAGGAGCAGCACAACAACAGATGAAACACCTTCAGCATCCTGACATGTGAGCATCATCGCTGCAGGCACAATCACACCAAACACGTCTCCTCTGCTGCTTCCCATTCACTCCTTCAGAATAAAAGTGGTCCAAAGCAAAAGTCATGGCGAAAACCAAAGAGATGGGAAAGTTTTAAACTCTAATCCAAGACAAGAAGAGGACAGCAGCACCGTTCCCACAGCTGTAAACCGTTTTAAACATGTCGCAGGCAGTCGTGGAGGAAACAAACCTTCAGCAGCCTTCAGGGCCAAAGTGCAGCTGAAGGTGACGGCAGTAATCAGATACGTGACCGTCTGAGTCGGTCGGACACGGTGGGCTGCCACCTAATCTCTGTCTGACAGTAAAACCCATGAGCATTCAGAACTGTGTGGCTGAAAGTCCACTGAGCTGACAGATGGACTGAATGTCCACGAGGCCGTCACGTACTGGTGTCGCTCAGGGCCTGTGGCTCTGGTCCTGCTAGCTTCTGTCTGACTAGCATCTGCACTTCAGACCCATTTTATAAGGAGTGAAAACCGACCACGGGTCCTCTCAGGCGCTGACGTCATGAAACCCCCACCGTGGCCTTATCAGGCTGCATAAATCTGTCCACTCGTCTTTGTCTTTCCTTTTTGGCCTCGGTCGAGGCTAAAAGCTTTCTCCCCTAAAAATGGAGCTATGTCTAAATGTAAAGACGGGCTTGTTGCCGCGGTGCGTAGCAGGAAGTGACTGTTAAACGGTCTGTGACATCACCCACATGCTTTAGCAGTTTTATCCCAGCGGGCAGTCTGACAGGAAGCTCAGGCTCTGGTTTTCTGTGACAAACCAAAATTCAAAGTTCTCTCTTACTCAGGTTGTTGGAGTCTTTTTACAATAAACAATGCCTTGAAGACGGCAGGAGGCTGAAACAGAGCTGGTGTGTTGTTTATTCTCTTGCTGAGTTTCTGTAGCTAGCTTGCTAACGTGTTACGTCAAGGAAAGGCTGTGGTGCTTCAGCGCAGAGAGACGAGCTGGTAGTGTGATAATAACGTCGCTCACAGGATGTGAGAGGCCAAACAGAATAACGATGCTGGCTCACATCCCACATGAATCCCTACATATCCTACAAACATTTGGTTTGAGTAACTTGGTGAGATTCGCCCATTTTCGTTGTTTTAGGGCAGCCCATCCTTTAAGCATGTTCCGACTGCACAAACTGCCCCACAGAAGCTCCTTCGGGGGGATCAGAGCCATTCCTCTGCGTTAGGAATGTCTGAGCAGTCCTGTCACGCTACAGGCTGCAGGACTCAACACTAAGTGGTGGAACGTGGAGAGAACAACAGCGGCCATTTGTCTGCACTCCCAGCGTCCTTGTTGAGAAGCAGCAGAACTCTGGCTATGACCTCCATAAGCTGCTCCACAGCTGGAGCTACACGCTGAGGTAACGCCGTGGTGGAGGCTGCTGGCTCCGACACCACTAGGGAAACAGACAAGCTGAAAGAGCGCCTGTAAATGTCTGTGCTAACTCCTGTGGTGTGTGAGCTGACTACCACCTGCTGGCAGTCCAGGTTCTCTGAGCTCTTCTTACTTCTCTGCACTGAGCCTTTTGGTCTTACAACCTGTTCATCGCTCCAGACAGTAACGAGTTACTCAGACAGGCTCGATGAGCTAACTAGTTGTCATAGTTGATCCTCAGGCTGAAGTCTGGGTTTTGTCTGCCAGAAGATCTTCTGGAAGTTCAACAGAACGACTGCATGTGACTGATGTTCAGCTGCAGGACGGCGCTGCTGTGGAGCTGCAGACGAACTCCTGCAGGAGTCTGTCTGCCGCTCATCACTGGGATCGTTTTAAAGGACACTTCCAGCAAGAGTTCAGATGTTTTGCTCCTTCACCTCAAGGACTAACTGGACTGGATGATCAGACACTGTGCATATGAAGTAACCAGCACATCCTCACACCTGACAGTTTACATACACACACACCTTCATACAGTGTGGTTGTGTATTGTCTGCTCCTGTCTGGTTATCTGCTAGTGACAGAAAGAGTGAAACTGCTCTGAAGCATGAACCTGCTGGATTCTGGCTGATCTCTGCTGTCCAGGGGACCTGCTGGACCTGCCTACCATGTGGAGCATGCAGAGGATGAGCACATGTTGATCATAAAGAGTTGGCTTCCTAGTCTGGGTTACTTGTCCTTTGATCAGATAACTTTTGCTTTTGCTGAGGAAACATGAGAGCAAACTAAAGGTTGACTTTGTTTATCTCAATGAAAATGTGATCTCAGCAGAATCAGGCACAAAACAAACGTCTTGGTACAAGTAGAAACCCTGACATGAGCTGCTGGGCTGTGACTCCAGCTCTGAGCATGTGCACAGCCTCAGACGAAGCCTGGACGGGGTGAACCTGACCATGTTTGAAGGTTCAGACAGCTGCCTCAGCATCCATCTCAGTGGAGGAAACGATCTTCTCGTCAGCCTTATTCACAGATTCAGTTTCAAATGACGTTTTACTTTATTTGTTCAGGCAAGGTTTGTCTTCTTTACGAGCACATTTACATCGGCCTTGCTCAAGGGCCCCTCAACGGTTCCAATGAAACATGTCCAAATGGGTCTCTTTCACTCCTTCCTTTATCCTGTCAGGCTGTAACTGAGCCCTGGCGCTGCTACTTTAAGAGCCCTACAGTGAAACAGAAACCTGCCAGTGACAGAGCTAAGATGTGGATATGAGCAGAACAGTGAGTCATGCTGGACTTGTCCTTTAACCTGCATGTTGGCAGCAGGTGAGTGAGGCGCAGGGCTGCCGGGCCTCACCACCACAGCGTCACACAGGGAACGTGTCCGGCAGCCATCCACTCACACCCATCCGTCCACCAACATGCCATCAGAGAGCAGGGCTCTCCTCTGAGTGGCTGGCTGGGTCTCTTACCGGTCTTTGAGGTCCAGTGGGCTCCGACTCTCTCCGGCGAGGGCGTCCGGACGGCAGCGAGTGACACGGTGACTGGGCGGGACTCCCACCGCTCCTCCTGGACGCCTCCTCCTCTGTTAGCGTTAGCATCCCCCGGCTTGTGTCTCGGGTGTGAGTCTTTGGACGAACCACCAGCTCCCCACCTGAAGGAAACCAGATGTTCAGCACAGTTACAAAGACCACCACTTCTGAAAGAGAAAACACCGACTGACTGATGATGAGCGTGATGTTCACGTCCATATCTGCAGCACGACATCAGTGAGAGGCTTAATGTTGGATACTAAAGCTGTTGTGTGTCAGATGTGTCCTGTCTGGTGGTCGTGTAGAAAAATGCTGCGAAGATGTTCTGCTGCACGTTCTTCTAGCTTCTCTCAGCTGTTTGGTGGATGCTTATTGTCTGGTTCTCAGCGGATCGTAGATGTGTTTAACTGATGTCTCTGGCTTGATATTGAACCGCTGATGTCAGATAACCAACACACACGACAAGAAGTATTCAGTACGTCTCTTTATTCTTTCACCTTTCGTCATATCTTCAGTTTTCATTTCAGTTTCATTTCAATAAACTTGTTTAAGATGTTGAGTGAACGCTGGTTGTGACCCGACACAGCAGCTGTGGTCGACGTCTTCATCAGCGACGCTGTAACGCGTCAGCATCATGATCTGCTGACTTCATTACAACACGTTCTTCTCTGGAGCGTCGCTGTGTGACTGCTGGACTGTGATGTCGGAGGCTTTTGGCTCTAATCATTATTATAGTTTTAGAGAACTGAGGCGGCAGCAAGTCCAACGTGGTTCGGTTAGTTTTCTGAAGGCTTCCAGAGTATGGAGGACGAGTTATCACAGAACAAAGCTCAGCATGAGGAACACAGCTGCTGAGACACGTCCCAGTAAAGCTGTTCTCTTGACATGTTTTAGTTTCTGACGACAGAGCCAGTATGATCCAGTGACTGAAGCACAGCTCATCAGGACCACATGTCAGCCAGCAGCCTTCAGTAGGACCCACCGGAGAAACGTCTCTATTTACAGTGCTGGAGTTAAGGGGGATGAGGGGGGACGGCATCCCCCTGAAATAAAAATGGTAAAAATCATCGCCCCTCTCAAACGGCCATCCCCAGACATTTTTACCAATAATGTGGAAATATTACTACTGTTCTGAGTTTCTGACGATGGAACCACTGTTACAGTATTGTGCCCATCCGCTCTGTTGATAATCCACACTGTGGGAGAGCAGGCAGCGCTACTGTGACAGCGTTTCTTTTTTCTTTTTCATCAACGTCAGTGGGCGGCATAGTAGCGGTGCTAGCACCATGGCCAAGCAACAAGGACAGCTCCATCTGAGGGACTCTGGATTTAAGAGGACAAAAAGTGACATTTTAGGTCAGTCAAAAGTCATAAAAATCCGTCATTACTCTCCATAAACCAACCATTCTGTCACCAAATGTGTGATCTCTGGACGTGGTGATAACAACACAGCTAATGATGCTAGGTTGCTAACGACGCTAGCGGTTACTGGCTGACTCGGGTTTGGCTTCTCAGTGGGGTTTAGTTTTGCTTTTATCAGTCCGGGCTGAGCACGATAACGTTTGTCTGGGATTCTCCAGGACATAGAAACAAGCCTAGAAGTCAACATTAACGTCATTTATCACAGTGAAAGGAGAAGTCAGGCAGTAATGAACATTATTAGTATGAGCTTAACTTTAAACAGTCTCTCTAAACCTTGTGCCTGCTTTGGGAGCAAATCTAAGTTTATAATAATCTTTATTTGGCCGATGCTGTTTTCTTACAGATGCTGATGAAACGGAACCAGCAGAAGAGCTACGACCCTCCTTCAAGCTGTGAACACTCTGGTCATCTCCTCAGCTGAGTGTGAGCGTGGCTTCAGTCACATGAACATTTAACCACAACTAGAAGCTCCTGGAAGTACAAAGCATGTCAGCCTTGCTTTTCATCCAGTGTGCCGGCCCTCCATTGAAAGTGTTCAAACCAGACGTCTATGTCAGGTCTGGGCTTCAGAGCCACTGTCTGGCTGATGATCCAAAAGCAAGAGCCGGAAAATTTACTACGAAAAACATGATGATGAAAATCTTTGGAAACGTCTGTGGATTAGGGGAGAACTGGGTCGGCAGCTATTGACAAAAACCACTGATCAGTTATCCATTTAACTTTTCCTATGTTGTCTTTAGAGGCGAGCCGCCTCATGTTTAAAATATCTCAGGTGTTGGTGCATCTGTGTAAATGTTTGATATTCATTTTCAAATGTTGTCAATTGTTTCAACTCGTTCATTAATTTTTTGCTTTTGAACTAAAATGAACTTGACCTGACTTGAGAGGATTCATTCATTCATTTGCAGTTCTTGTGAGGTTTTGTTTCACACGTCAGCAGATGAATTACCAAATGATCTCAAAGCACCATGAGCATGAAGCTGCACTTGAACCCAGTAGAAGTGGTCCTCTGGTTTAGCTCTGACTGTGTAGGAGCAGTGATGGCCATGCCAGCCTGGGCACTGACTCCAGTTCTGAGGTATGTTGGTCAAGATCAATGACAGGACAATCTGACAAATAAGATCCATGTCATAGATGTTGTTTTAGGAGAGTAAGATAATTATCTTTGAGCTTTAACAAAAATAAAAAGTCGACATAGTTTGTTTCACATCATATGCACTCATCAGGATAAATATCCATCCCAGAAAATAAAACCCACCTCCCCCCTGAAATTCTTTTACAACTCGACTCCTGTGTATTTGTGACCCAGACTCATCACAGACGGAGGTCAGAGACGGTGAATCAGTGATAGTTATATACTTAATTATTTAAAATAATCTACTAATGGACTCAGAACCAGCCGATGGTGACAGCCTTACAACCCGAGATGCTCTGTGGGTGCCAGAATATCAGAACCAAGGCTTCGTATTGGCACTGAAACGTTACTCAGTTTGTCTTCTAGTCTGAATCATGCCACCTTCACCGCTAACAGACTTGAGCAGAAGCTCCTACCTCCAGCCCGCAGCCTCCTCCTCTCCTCCTGCTCCTCCAGAGGACGGAGCTCCTCGGGCTCCTCGTCGGTGGTTCCTGACGTGGTTGGAAGGAAGTCTCGCAGCTCCGCCTCTTTGTCGATGATCACCCACTCTTTGCTGTCAAAGTCCTCCTCCTCGGCCAGCGGGACGGAGCGGATGAAGGCGTTGCTATGCGCTTCCTGGTCGACAGACGCCAGCGACACTTCCTGGCGGCCGCTGACCTGACGATCTCCACGGCAACCAGGGTCAACAGACAGCATTTGCGCCGGCTGGGAGGAGTAGACGTGGCGCGATGGAGAGCCGAGGATATCCATCCTGGACCTGGAGTCAGGAAGACATGGGGACGTGGTTCATCTGCAACAGTCTACAGAAGACACTACAGAGCTGGAGTCACACAGGGGTTGGTTTCAACATGGTACCTCGTTCTGGTCCAATCAGTCTCTGACCAACATTCTTGAGGCAAAAGCAGAGTCAAGTCTAAACTTAATCACGATCTGGGTTCTTTCTGATCACAGCACTGAGTACAACAGCACAGTGATAACGATCCGGTCCAAATGCAATAAAGAGAATTTAGTGTTTTCACTAGTTTGGGCTTCAGTTTGTCAATAAAAACACTTGACAAAAGAGGAGACGGATTTTAGATGAAAAAATATGAACTCAGTCTATCTGGGGGAACAACAACTTTAGTTTCTACCTTTAAAACATAAAAACAATCTAAACGTTCATGTTTTAATGTTTTCTTCTGTTTCTAAAAGGTTCAGTTATTGAGGAACAGATGTGTTCAGGGTCCTGTGGTTCCTGGAGGTTACCTCTGTCCGTAGGCATCAGCTCGGCCCTCAGCAACAGACAGGCGGTCAGACTCAGGGCTGTTGACCCGGCGGTACCGTAAAGACCGACCCTGACCTGTCGGAGACTCCGGGGCTCCACCTCGAACTGGCGAGACCGGACACGCCCCCCGGCCAGCCTCTTCTTCCTGAGCCCCCTGAAAAACAACAAGAAGTGAGCAACCATTGAAAACCTCTGGATGAAGACTCATACACCTTAATCCTCACTAGGGTATCGAGGGGGCGGAGCCTATCCCAGCTGACTCAGGGTGAAGGCAGGTTCACCTGGACAGGTAACCAGTCTATCACAGGGCTACACTTAGAGACAGACAACCAAGCACACTCACATTCACACCTACGGACAATTTACAATCACCAATTAACCTCAGCATGTTTCTGGACTGTGGGAGGAAGCCGGAGAACCCGGAGAGAACCCACGCTGCACGGGGAGAACATGGAGACTCCACGCAGGAAGATCCCGGGTGTCCTCACCGGGACGCCAACCGGCGACCTTCTAGCTGTGAGGCGACGGTGCTAACCACTGAGACACCTGCAGCCTGCTTTACAACGACTAAACTATAAATGTAATTTCACAGTCTTCAGTCACTTCAGACCTTGTTCAGGCTGATCCTGAGTCTGTTGCGGTTGAAGTCGGTGTCCTCCCAGGCCTCTCCCGTCTCTCCAGTGTGCTGGACGCCGGTCTCCCCGGGGGGTCGGCTCGGCGGGGCTGGGGGGGCGTTCTCCTGATCGCTGAGATGTTCATCCTGCAGAACGTCGTCGGTGTTCTCCCTCTGAAGGTCTCCAGGAACCGGCGTCACAATGGCCCTGTGGATACACAACACGAGCCATCCTCACGCCGGCGCTTTGATCTCATTCGTTATCATGAACACAAAGCCGATAAAATAACACCAGAACGAACTCTGGATGAGAAGGACTCGTGTCTCAGGCTCAGCACTGAAGAATGAATCATAACACAGCCGGCAGCTGGGTTCTTACCCCACCATGGCGGCCGTGGGTCGGGTGTTGTGCTGTGGTTGGGTGGAGGCACTGGTCGACAGCGTGACATCACTTCCTCCTTTCTCCCAATCGAAGGGCTCGTTCTCAGTGATAATGCGCTCCTTCATGCTGTTCTCAAACACCGACATCAGCAGCTGCACAACAAACAAGACGGACTCATGAATGTGAACTGCAGTCCTGATTCTGGCCCTGAAGCAGAGACTCTGTGACGGCGTGTACCTGGTAATCTGGTTTGGTGTAGTAGTCCAGGGCCAGGACATGGTCCAGGAAGATATTAAAATCTGAAGGCATGTGTTTGAGCAGCATCCGATGGTCGTATCGCTCTTTAATCTGACCAACTTGTTCCTAGAACAAAAACAACAAACAAAACAGCGATCACTTTCAGACGGTCTGACCCGAACCCAAACCAACATGACAGCATGAATTCAGCTGGGCAACCGGCTGCAGACAGACCATCTAACACAGCAGCTAGGCTAACAAACAGCGCCCTCTACATCCAGCTGTCACCATGAGATGTTCTCTGGATCTGGAGGTACGCGTCTCTGATGTGCAGTCGCTGGTCCCACCGACCCCTAAACCGACCCCTTCATGTGTCTGTTGTATTGTTGGTCTGATCTCCATGTGCTGTCCTGCTACTCCCACCCCAGCCCCTCATGCTATCCTGCTCCCACCCACCCGGTCGCAGCAGACGACCACCTTCCGTGAGCCTGCTTCTGTCAGAGGGCTTTCTTCCCGTCCCTATTAAAGAGGTGGTCGGTTCCTTCCCACCATCGCCGGCTGCTTCCTCAGAGGGAATCCAAAGCCCCGTTGGCTTGTAGGTTCTCTGTTCTGTGTCCTTCACCTGACTATGTGAGGCGCTGAGAGATGATTGTGAACTGACGCTATATAAATAAAACTGAATTAAATTAAACTGAGTTTGAGTGTTTTATGTTTCCACCTGATGAATCTACATCCACTACCCCTTCAGTTCCTGATATCTGCTCTACCTTCTCCCCTTCCTGCACCGGCTGATCTCTGATGTCTGCTGTTTGCTGCTGAGCACAGTGCCGACAGGAAAGCCACATCTAAAGCTGAGTACTCAGTGACCCTTCTCAGCTAGTTTACCCTCCACATGTTCAGAGTACTGGATGGTTGTAGGTGGTAGCGTAGCAGAGGCACAGCGGTCGATGCTGCTGTCAGGCCTCAGGCCAGGACCACTACGGCCAGAAGGCATCACTGAGACGTGGTGGTACGTCTCAGTGATGTTCAAGCCGTGCTTCGTGTTTATAGCTGTGATCAGGTGAAGCTGTCTGACCTTATCTTTGATCTTCCGCCACGGCAGCTGTCCCACAGCGAACTCCACCAGCATGTAAAACAATGACCAGAGGTCGTCATGGCGACCCATCTCCTGGAGAAGCACAACAGAAACACGACGTCAGGACATCAGTGTGACGGTAGAGTCACAGCATCACACTGTTGTTACAAACAAGTCGAGTCAGAAACAATCTGAACCAAAGAAAATGAGTCAAACAAGTCGATTAACGTCTCTGTGAAGATTCAGGCTTGGTGGCGCTGCTGCTCCGGTCAGAGCCATTAAATCATCACAGAGTGAGACGGTGACACCGTAGAGACGACAAACCAGGTGATGGCTTCATGTATTCATCTGATGAAGCCTTTGTTGTTTCTCTCTGGCTGAGCAGAAGCTTCAGTGTTCTGTGAGGCCATGTGCTCCACACACCTCATCCTTCAGTCCATATAGATATATCTATATATATATATGGTTCAGTCCATCCGTTGTTCTCTTATCAATGAGCCAAACCTAAACACGTTTTGATTACGTTTCGTACCGTTGCACATAAAGCTGGTGGATGGAAACACGTGTCTGCTGAACGCATCTCCTGCATCGAAGCCATAAAGACAAACAGCACTGACCTTGTTCTTATGAGCGTTGACAGAAGCGTAGCGGACCGTCCCTCTGAAGCCTGCCACGGTCCTCGGCTGAACACAGGACACAGCAGAGTTAGTCGGCTGTTACATCAACTGGTTTCCAGTCAACCCACTGCTCCATGTTTCTAACAGCACCAGACACTAAGAATCCTGCAGCACCAAACTAACTGAAAACACAGTATGTATTTATAGCTAAGTATAACTAATAAAATGTTTTTTGTAGTAAAACAGTCTTGTAGCTGTTACAAAGATGTTTTTAATCAGATTGTGTAGCCCAGGGCTGTGCCTCGACCTGACCAGCAGCACACAGAACTGGACACGCTGCCACTTGTGACGTGAACTAAAGGCTCTGCATGAACAGACTGCATCATAAGACAGCATCAGCACACAACACAAACAGACAACTACTTTGTGCTTGTTGTGGCTGAATCCAAATGACAAAGGTTTGGTGTAACACTGCCAACAGTGCAGCGGGTCATGGTTAGGGTCAGCTGTCTGCAGGGAGAGCATCCAGGCAGAAACAGGAAGAACCAGACCACCCTGTATACGTAAAGGCTGAATGAATGAATACAGTCCAACACAACACCAGATGAAGACACATGTAGACATCAATACATTGATTTATATCAAACGTTCACACAGCCTCAGACGACCTCTGATGTTCTGATTCAGCCACGACAAACCGTCTGTGTTGACTTATATCGTTCACACTGCTGTTGCATCGTGTGCTGAAGTCCAGCGGCCGGTCAGCTCATAGCAGCGTCCTGCTGGTCAGGTTCCATTAAATCCAATGCTTGTACTGCTCACGGCAGTCATTATGATCTCATTTATTTCTATTCATGTGAAAACAGAGGAATTACATCAGTAGCTTCAAACGTGATGTTTTCAGCCCAAACTACACACTGAATGACATCATAAAGCTGTTTAAAGTAAATCTGATGTAAAGGGAGTAAATTACAGGCAGACAAAAGCAAATAATGACACGAACAGACAGAAGCATGAGCAGAGGGTCACGCTGCATCGACCAGCCTCCATCCACAGCAGACCATCAGCAAACAGGCTCAGCTCACAGGACTCATATCTGTACGGTGAGCAGATTTTAGAACATTTATTTATGGCCTCATAGATCAGTGAGTCTTTATCTCCCCTTGATCAAGGAGCTACATTATTGGACTGATCTTTAGTCTGCTTTTAATTGTTTTAAGGTCAAAAGAATAAAAAAGAAACAATAAAGACAAAAAAAAGTACAAATACATCCATCATCTCTACACCTTAA